GATAGGTGAAACATTTTCCCTGATTTAGGTTAACTCTAAGGTGATCCGTGAAATATTTTCTTGTTTTGTATTATTTGTCAGGTGATAGGTGAAACATTTTCCCTGATTTAGGTTAACTGTAAGGTGATCCGTGAAATATTTTCCTGTTTTGGGTTAGCTGTTAGGTTATCCGTGAAACATTGTTCTGGTTTTTTTTTTGGGGGGGAGGGGGTGTTTAAATAGGTTGAAAAACATTGATCTAGAAGATTTTACGATGGGAGTTAACTCCTTCTGTAATCTGTTTGATATTTTTCTACATGTGGTCGTCTCTTTCCAACAGTCCAGTTTCTGCCTGGGTGTGTTGCTGTCCATTTCTAAATCTTGTCTTTTATCACATTTATTTTGACCTTCCCCATTGTTATATTGTTTTGGGCTATTCTTAAAAAATACAGTTTCTTATGTGGGATGTTACTTTTGACAGAAAAAAGTTACTTATTTTGCTCAATTAAAAAAAAACTAACATTTATTTGACTATTAACTAGCTTTTGTCTTTGTAGTAGCATTTTTTATGTCGGTTTAAATGTTAATAGAATTTTAATTTACTTGTATTTGTCGTTTTATATTTTGAAGTATTTTTTAGTAATGACAATAATAGTTTATACAAAGTTAAAATTTCATTAATGTCACTGAAATTTGTTGTGGCCTTGTATTATGGAAAAACAGTGCTTAAGGTGTTCTCGTGTGTGGTGAATTTATATTGTGAAGAATGATTTGTTTATTTTCTGCTATTGGTTTTGTTTGAATTCTTATTTGAAAAAGATACATTTCCAGGGATTTCTCCTAATCAGATGTGTACTTTAGAGCAATTTTAGTATTATTTTATTAACAAGTACTCAGTTTCATTAACTTGTTAAAGTATAAACAATACACAGAGCAGCCCTCTCTAACCCCTCCCCCCCTTCCCCCATAGACAGTCAAGTGATAAAATTAATTATAAGAGCAGATAGCAAATTTTATGAAATCATTCAATCACACTGTGGGTTCCAGGGCCCCATAGTGGGGGGAGACCACTGCCCCTCAAACAAGTATGTCATAAAAGTCAACTAATTAAGGGTGTTTCTTTCAAAGTCAGAGTAGGTCTGCCTGAAAGGTGAGGAACCAACAGTCTGCATACAAATAAGCTAGATTTGTACAGTAGCTAGTCATGTGGTCAAAGCTCCATCAGGGAGGGGATTTTGGTTGAAAACTGACCTAGGCTTCTAGGTCAACTTCTAGGTCAACTTCTAGATCAACTTCTAGGTCAAATTCTAGGTCAACTTAACCTCTAATTGATATCAGGAAATATCATGGGAGCAAACGCAGCTGTCTATATACCGAGCATATCACCGGTGAAAGGGGCCAGCTCTAGGAAAACATGAGACTAGCACAATAAACTCAGTTTTCCTTCTGGAAGGGAGATGGGTCCTCACTGCATGTTTTCGGGGGTCCATTTTTTTTTGGGGGGGGGGGGGGGGCTGAGGTGTTTAGAGTAAATAGAGGTGTTTCCTTCGAAGTCAGCATGCATCTGCCTGTGAGGCAAGGAACCAACAGTCTGCATTCAATAAATCCATTATGCAGGAAGTGCATGCAGAACTCAAATTCTGGAATGGGAAAACAGATCAGAGTTGACAAACAACCAGAACTGTCTGCCAGAGTTTACAGCTGGGGAACGCTAAGAAGAATGTGGGTCCTTATTTTAATTTTCAACTTAGCCTCAAACAAGGAAGACCTCATTAGAAAAATAGAAAGTAGTAAAATGTCTCAGCATTGTTTTCTCAGCAAAGAGGTAAATTTTCTGCTGACAAGAACCTCAGCAAAAAGTTAAATTTTCTACTGAAAAGAAAAGAGAATCTTGTTCTGTAAGTATAGGAGGAGAAAAACTGACTTTGGTAGCATTATGTGGCATATTTATCAGATAGAGCTGATAAATAAAATAATCACTTATTCTCATGCCAATTTTACATTTATCTATGAATTGTTGTCTAATAGGTTCTAGACGGACTTGGCTTGGGACCTCAAGGACCTCCCATCCCGCCACCAGTAACTTTTTCTGTGGTTCCTTATCCGGTCAAGCGCAGGCCTCCCCCTGTACCAGTGGCTGGAGGACAGTACCTGTTTGTAGCTTCCTCCCCTGATGATCTGTAAGTTGTAGCAGAAGTTATGCGGTGTTTTTCTTTCCATTGACATCTTAGGGAGATGTGATGACTAGCATTCTTGTCTTCCAGCTGGGTGCTTTTGGGTTTCAGTTCACATCTAGTTTAGCCCAGACTAAAGTCAGTCTCAGGAAAGGTCAGGGAAAGTTAAGGGATTGGTCATGATGTTGATCCCATTACTCATTGCATTAGCGCAGTCGATAAGAGACTCGCTTTCAAATCCAGCTGCGACTCGCAGTCGGTGTTCGAAACCGGGCGGTTCCCGGGGTTCACCCAGCCTCTAGGAAATGGGTACCAGAGTTGACACTCTGGGGTAAATGAACATCGCTGTAGCTACAAAGTTACATGCGAACGGCGACACAGGCAGACAAATCTTATCAGCTGTACGTACTGGTGGCAGAGCACTTATGGTTTATAACCGTGTGCAGTGATGCTGGTTCACATCTCCCAACTTTACCTTTACCTTTTTTTACTCATTAAATATATATAGAAATTTACAAATATAGATTTAGCACCTTGTGCCCAGCTCAACTGAAGGGCATGCAAAGAGCCCTGTACTCTGGATTTTTTCAAATTTAGCTTGCTACATTGTGCTAGTAGTCTATTCAATGTGGCGTTGGTAATCATGTATGTCGACAAACTTCTGTCTCATGTATTTTCAATCATTTCTGATTCACCATGTGGGTTCCAGGTTCCCACTGTGTATGTGTGTGTGTGTGTGTGGGGGGGGGGGGGTTAGGGGGAGGGGGGGAGAAACCAACAGTCTGCATACAAAAAAGCCAGAAGAAGAAGAAGAAACATTTCTGATACAGATATTCTTCAATGCTGTTATACCAAACTCCTCTCTCTTCAATCCTTTTAATCCCCTCCAATTTGCCTGATGTCACAACATACTAATTGTTTACCGCTTATTTTATCTAATGATTTTGTTTAATAGATAAAGCACACATTTGGTTCCTGTAACTTTTGTTAGATAATATTTGGCAGCACAATTGTGTTGGTTTTATTTTCATGTCTTGAACGAGATCAGAGTGAGACTAACAAATTGTTGTCTTGGTTTCCCGTTACAGAAATGTTGGGCCAGAGCCAAAGGAAGCAGAAACTGATCTGAAGGAACGAAAGGAACTGAAGGAACTAAAGGAACTGAAGGAACTAAAGGAACTGAAGGAGGAGGACAAAGCAAAAACAGGGAAAGCCACTGAGAAGGGTGGCCGCACAAGTACTGAATCTAAAACAGACAGAAAACGTAGTGCTGAGCGTAAAAAGCAGGCTAAACTAAATTCGTCCAACCTTTCATCTCCACAACCTGGACAAATCACACCAGTGTCAGACATGGACGGGTAAACATGTGATTTTTCAGATATACTAGATTTTGTGTTTTGTTTCATATTTAAGACAGGATCCTTTAAAAAAAAAATTACATAAGGGCATCAGGCATAAGGAGCCAGACTAAGATGTTTTAACCAGTGGACACTCAGTGGGTGATGTAATCAACATCTTGTTGGCCACCTTTGCTTCTGTGCTTATCTTACCCTCTTAAGTTTAAATCTGAACTCCAAGGGACATAAATGTTGTATATAATGGACTTTTCTTCTAAGGAACATAACTATTTATATATCCATATATTGCTTACAACAAAGAGTCTATCGCCATACATCATACATTTCTTAGGATGGAAAGAGTTAAGACCCTTGGACAAGCAGGCAAGCATCTATCCAGTGAATTCTATGGGCTTCCTGCCGGATGTTGAATATGTCTGAAACTGTTCTTTCACCATCTCCTTATTATCAGCAACTCTTGACTACACATGAACCAGTAGTGTAGTGGCTAGCACTGTTGCCAACTCAACCTTTCATCCTTATGTCCTTTTTAAGGACGTAATTTTTTGTTATTTGAAGCTCCACTCTGGCTTTTGCCAGGGGCCGCAATATAGGCAGGCCATAAATATGGCCAATTGTCTGAACGCGGTTTCTGGGACCTCTCCACGGAGATCCTCATCCACATGGTGGCACTTTGTGTCATCCCGTGTTTATCACTTGTGTGATTTCCTAGTGGGGTAGAAAGTCAGTCAGTCAGTCAACTCAACCTTCTTATCCCTTTATGTATGCAATTTTTCATTATTTGAAGCCCTACTCTTGTCTTTTGCCAGGGGCTGCAATATAGCCTGGCCATAAATATGGTCTAATGGCTGAACACGGTTTCTGGGACCTATCCACGGGTAATCCTCATCCACATGGTGGCACTTTGTGTCATCAGGTGTTTATCGCTTGTGTGATGTCCTGGTGCAGTAAAAGAAGATAGACAGATAGATTGCCAGCTGGATACATACCTTGCCTTGACTATGGGGGGATGCAATTTTTATTTTAAAGCCCCCATTCCGGCTGTAGTCAGGACCCCAGTATAACCTAAAAGTTGAACAGGGTTTCTGGGACCTCTCCCAGGGTGATCCTCATCTGCGTGGTGGCACTCTGCGTTTATCGCTTGGTGGATGTCCTGGTAGGGCTGAATCTCTCACTTACTTGCCAGTTGGCACAGGTTTTAATAATGTAAAGTCCTGGGAAGTAAAGGCAGCCAGCATGATACTGAAAACATCCCTCACTGAGTGCTGATTGGTCTTTAAAATATAGGTCTAGCCCAACATACCTAATAGGCCTAAGGGCATTGACAAGAGTCCTTTGTTTGATTTTTTTTTTCTATGGTAGTTATATTTTCTCTGTAGGCAGTTAAATAAATAACTGGAACATATAAATCACAGCAATGTCAAATGTTTTCACAGTCTGTAGCAAATAACGTTACACATTGTCATTAACTTTTTTTTTTTTTAAACAGCTGCTTGTCCGAGGTGGAAGAAAGTATGCCTGCCAAGAAGTGAGTTTATTCTATTTTTGTTTCTGAAACTGTTGAGCCTGTGGATTTAAACAAAAATGTTAGTGTATATAATGAGGTTGGAAACAATAAGTACAACTGGCATATTTCTCTGTCAGGTGCATGCTACGGAATGAAATCAACATATAATTAGTCACACGAATCAATCCATTCAACTGAAATACATGAATCACATGTCAATAATTCATTTTTTTCAGTTGGAAGTATGAATTTTCTTGTCCAAATGGAATTGCTGCACATCCATTTCAGTTTCTTTCTGAAGGGCCACCAACATACTTAACTCTTTGAGTCCCAGGTGGTTTATCATCCCAGGCCCAGGGGGTAGTAAGGAAAGTAATAAAATTGGCGCATCATGTGTTCATTGGGCTTCTAGGTAGGAACCTATGAACGTATGATGCGTTCCTTCGGACTCAAAGAGTTAAGTAGCTTCCAGTGATACACTCAATCATCCTTGAGGGCCCCCTAAATCCAAAAGCAGGAAATTTGTTTAACAGCAAATGGTACTACACAGTGCTGTCATAACTGATTCTAATTTTGAAAATAGTCTATAGAAAGCATTTCTTCATATGGCCCTCGGATATAGAGAAGAGTGAATGCATTTAACACTTTCATGATCTTTGAGCCATATGGTTCGATTTCCAAGATGGGTTTTTTCCTTCCAATATTTTCATGTCCTTGTGAATTTTCAGACAGAAAAAAAATGCCCGACAAGATGAAAAGAAGAACCAGTATTGCACTGTCTGCATGGCCTCCAATATAAATTGTTTTTCTGATAAATTGCATTTCTGTCTGGCCACTAGAGAATCTGACATATGTGTGGCCACCAGAGATGAACATACAGGCCAGAAAAATCTGCGAGCAGCAAGGGCCATAACTCAATGATAATAGATAAAACTGTGTTGGGTGTTTTAGACAGAAGTGATTGGGGCCTAACCATGTAATACTTTAAAAACAGTAGGGGGTGCACAGTAGCTGACCTCCATTGTGGAGACAGCAGGGGGTGCACAGTAGCTGACTTCCATTGTGGAGACAGCAGGGGGTACACAGTAGCTGACTTCCATTGTGGAGACAGCAGGGGGTGCGCAGTAGCTAACCTCCATTGTGGAGACAGCAGGGGGTACACAGTAGCTGACCTCCATTGTAGAGACAGCAGGGGGTGCACAGTAGCTGACCTCTATTGTAGAGACAGCAGGGGGTGCACAGTAGCTGACCTCCATTGTGGAGACAGACGGGGGGTGCCCAGTAGCTGACCTCCATTGTGGAGACAGCAGGGGGTACACAGTAGCTGACCTCCATTGTGGAGACAGCAGAGGGTGCCCAGTAGCTGACCTCCATTGTGGAGACAGCAGGGGGTGCACAGTAGCTGACTTCCATTGTGGAGACAGCAGGGGGTGCCCAGTAGCTGACTTCCATTGTGGAGACAGCAGGGGGTGCACAGTAGCTGACTTCCATTGTGGAGACAGCAGTAGGTGCACAGTAGCTGACTTCCATTGTGGAGACAGCAGGGGGTGCCCAGTAGCTAGCCTTCATTGTGGAGACAGCAGGGGGTGTGCAGTAGCTAGCCTTCATTGTGAAGACAGCAGGGGGTGCGCAGTAGCTAACCTCCATTGTGGAGACAGCAGGGGGTACACAGTAGCTGACCTCCATTGTAGAGACAGCAGGGGGTGCACAGTAGCTGACCTCCATTGTAGAGACAGCAGGGGGTGCACAGTAGCTGACCTCCATTGTGGAGACAGACGAGGGGTGCCCAGTAGCTGACCTCCATTGTGGAGACAGCAGGGGGTACACAGTAGCTGACCTCCATTGTGGAGACAGCAGAGGGTGCCCAGTAGCTGACCTCCATTGTGGAGACAGCAGGGGGTGCACAGTAGCTGACTTCCATTGTGGAGACAGCCGGGGGTGCCCAGTAGCTGACTTCCATTGTGGAGACAGCAGGGGGTGCACAGTAGCTGACTTCCATTGTGGAGACAGCAGTAGGTGCACAGTAGCTGACTTCCATTGTGGAGACAGCAGGGGGTGCCCAGTAGCTAGCCTTCATTGTGGAGACAGCAGGGGGTGTGCAGTAGCTAGCCTTCATTGTGAAGACAGCAGTAGGTGCACAGTAGCTAACTTTCATTGTGCAGATAGCAGGGTGTGCACAGTAGTCAGCGTTAATTGTGGAGACATCAGGGGGTGCACAGTAGCCAGTGTTCATTGTGGAGACAGCTGGGGATGCACAGTAGGCCACATTCATTGTAGAGACAGAAGGGGTGCACAGTAGCCTAGGTTTATTGTAGAGATAGCATGGGGTGCACAGTAGCTGACCTCTGTTATGAAGACAGCATGGGGTGCACAGTAACCAACCTTCATTGAGAGACAGCAGTAGGTGCATTGTAGCTAACCTCCATTGTGGAGACAGCAGGGGGTACACAGTAGCTGACCTCCATTGTGGAGACAGCAGGGGGTGCACAGTAGCTGACCTCCATTGTGGAGACAGCAGGGGGTGCACAGTAGCTGACTTCCATTGTGGAGACAGCAGGGGGTGCACAGTAGCTGACTTCCATTGTGGAGACAGCAGGGGGTGCCCAGTAGCTAGCCTTCATTGTGGAGACAGCAGGGGGTACACAGTAGCTGACTTCCATTGTGGAGACAGCAGGGGGTGCACAGTAGCTGACCTCCATTGTGGAGACAGCAGGGGGGTGCCCAGTAGCTGACCTCCATTGTGGAGACAGCAGGGGGTACACAGTAGCTGACCTCCATTGTAGAGACAGCAGGGGGTGCACAGTAGCTGACCTCCATTGTAGAGACAGCAGGGGGTGCACAGTAGCTGACCTCCATTGTGGAGACAGACGGGGGGTGCCCAGTAGCTGACCTCCATTGTGGAGACAGCAGGGGGTACACAGTAGCTGACCTCCATTGTGGAGACAGCAGAGGGTGCCCAGTAGCTGACCTCCATTGTGGAGACAGCAGGGGGTGCACAGTAGCTGACTTCCATTGTGGAGACAGCAGGGGGTGCCCAGTAGCTGACTTCCATTGTGGAGACAGCAGGGGGTACACAGTAGCTGACCTCCATTGTGGAGACAGCAGGGGGTGCCCAGTAGCTGACCTCCATTGTGGAGACAGCAGGGGGTGCACAGTAGCTGACTTCCATTGTGGAGACAGCAGTAGGTGCACAGTAGCTGACTTCCATTGTGGAGACAGCAGGGGGTGCCCAGTAGCTAGCCTTCATTGTGGAGACAGCAGGGGGTGTGCAGTAGCTAGCCTTCATTGTGAAGACAGCAGTAGGTGCACAGTAGCTAACTTTCATTGTGCAGATAGCAGGGGGTGCACAGTAGTCAGCGTTAATTGTGGAGACAGCAGGGGATGCACAGTAGGCCACATTCATTGTAGATACAGAAGGGGTGCACAGTAGCCTAGGTTTATTGTAGAGATAGCATGGGGTGCACAGTAGCTGACCTCTGTTATGAAGACAGCATGGGGTGCACAGTAACCAACCTTCATTGAGAGACAGCAGTAGGTGCATTGTAGCTAACCTCCATTGTGGAGACAGCAGGGGGTGCACAGTAGCTGACCTCCATTGTGGAGACAGCAGGGGGTGCACAGTAGCTGACCTCCATTGTGGAGACAGCAGGGGGTGCACAGTAGCTGACTTCCATTGTGGAGACAGCAGGGGGTGCCCAGTAGCTGACTTCCATTGTGGAGACAGCAGGGGGTACACAGTAGCTGACCTCCATTGTGGAGACAGCAGAGGGTGCCCAGTAGCTGACCTCCATTGTGGAGACAGCAGGGGGTGCACAGTAGCTGACTTCCATTGTGGAGACAGCAGGGGGTGCACAGTAGCTGACTTCCATTGTGGAGACAGCAGGGGGTGCCCAGTAGCTAGCCTTTATTGTGGAGACAGCAGGGGGTGCGCAGTAGCTAGCCTTCATTGTGGAGACAGCAGTAGGTGCACAGTAGCTAACTTTCATTGTGCAGATAGCAGGGGGTGCACAGTAGACAGCGTTAATTGTGGAGACATCAGGGGGTGCACAGTAGCCAGTGCTCATTGTACAGACAGCAGGGGATGCACAGTAGGCCACATTCATTGTAGAGACAGAAGGGGTGCACAGTAGCCTAGGTTTATTGTAGAGATAGCATGGGGTGCACAGTAGCTGACCTCTGTTGTGAAGACAGCAGGGGGTGCACTGTAGCTAACCTTTATCGTGGAGATAGCATGGGGTGCACAGTAGCTAACCTTCATTGTGAAGACAGCAGGGGGTGCACAGTAGCTAACCTCCATTGTGGAGACAGCAGGGGGTGCACTGTAGCTAACCTCCATTGTGGAGACAGCAGTAGGTGCACAGTAGCTACCCTTCATTGTGGAGACAGCAGTAGGTGCACAGTAGCTAACCTTCATTGTGAAGACAGCAGGGGGTGCACAGTAGCTAACCTTCATTGTGGAGACAGCAGGTGGTGCGCAGTAGCTAACCTTCATTGTGGAGACAGCATTTGGTGCACAGTAGCTAACCTTCATTGTGGAGATAGCAGGGGGTGCACAGTAGACAACCTCTATTAGGAAGACAGCAGGGGATGCACAGTAGCTATCCTTTATTGTGGAGACAGCAGGGGATGCACAGTAGCTAACCTTTATTGTGGAGACAGCAGGGGGTGCACAGTAGCTAACCTTTATTGTGGAGACAGCAGGGGATGCACAGTAGCTAACCTTTACTGTGGAGACAGTAGGGGGTGCACAGTAGCCTAGGTTTATTGTAGAGATCGCATGGGGTGCATAGTAGCTGACCTCTGTTGTGAAGACAGCAGGGGGTGCACAGTAGCTAACCTTTATTGTGGAGACAGCAGAGGGTGCACAGTAGCTAACCTTTATTGTGGAGACAGCAGGGGGTGCACAATAGCCAGTGTTCATTGTGGAGACAGCAGGGGGTGCACAGTAGCCAGTGTTCATTGTGGAGACAGCAGGGGGTGCACAGTAGCTGACCTTTATTGTGGAGACAGCAGGGGGTGCACAGTAGCTGACCTTTATTGTGGAGACAGCAGAGGGTGCACAATAGCCAACCTCCATTGGAGAGACAGCAGGAAGTGCACAGTATCCAACTTCCATTATGGAGAAGCGCACATTTGTAAGCACAAATAGTTTTTTAAATATCTGTCTTCGGTGTGTACATGTTTTAATAGTTGCTCCATGCTACAGCCAGTCACAGGGCCTGTCCTATGTTGTGAAGTGGGAAGGGGGGGGGGGGAGGGGATTTGGTTAGGATATGGCTTCGTTCAGTGTTCGCTTGCCGTATACAATGTTACTGTGAAGTTGTCATGAGTCTTTTTATGGCCCCACAGGCACTTGTGTACAAGTGAGATGTACTGCAGGGGGAAGTGCGTGAAGGTTCATGTGTATCAACACTAGGAAGTTTTTCTGCTTTCTTGGTGGAGGCTTTCGCCCCAGAAATAAAACGATAACTGCCAAGAAAAGTAGAAATACAAAAACAACCCTTTTTTGCTAGTCATGAACCATCACACAAGTCGCACAACATGCCAGTAATCTCACAAGTGAGAGGTGACAACATGAGAAAAGACAGAATGGTTGAAATGTTGAAAAGAAGGAATACATGACACTCCCCAGACATATGCCAAGACATGTGACCAGCCAGGGTATGAATGGGATGGGAAGTAACTCTTGACATGCAGACAGTATCATGATAAGAACCAGCATGTAACACCTGAGCATGTAACACCTGAACATGTAACACCTGAACATGTAACACCTGAACATGAAACACCTGAACATGTAACACCTGAACATGTAACACCTGAGTATGTAACACCTGAGTATGTAACACCTGAGCATGTAACACTTGAGCATGTAACACCTGAACATGTGACACCTGAGTATGTGACACCTGAACATGTAACACCTGAAAATGTAACACCTGAACATGTAACACCTGAGTATGTGACACCTGAACATGTAACACCTGAACATGTAACACCTGAGCTTGTAACACCACCTGCACATGTAACACTAACTGCACATGTAACACCTGAGTATGTGACACCTGTGCATGTAACAACACCTGAACATGTAATGCCTGAACATGTAACACCTGACTGGCTATGTTTCCCCCAGACTGACAGTGTTCAGGTGGACAGTACCTGCCCATGGAACCGTCACCCTACGCTTGAGGTTTACGTCAAATGATATCGGACAGTTTGATCAGACCATGAATTTTGAAATCATGGGGACCAGACGGAGGTACCAGATTTTCTGTCGAGGAATTTGTGCTTTCCCAACAATCAGCAAGGACCCCAAGTATGCTGGTTTTTTTTAAATGTGTTTTTTGTGGTTTTTTTTGGAGAGGGGGCAGGAAAGGGGGGGGGGGGGTGTTGGAATTGTTGCCTTTATGTAAATATGTGTGTATCTTTGTGTGGTTTGTTACTTTTGTTTGTATATGTGTGTTTGTATCTTTGTGTGGTTTGTTACTTTTGTTTGTATATGTGTGTTTGTATCTTTGTGTGGTTTGTTACTTTTGTGTGCAAATGTATGTTTATTTTTGTGTAGTTTGTTGCTTTCTCTTTTAAATATGTGATTGTTTCATTTGTGTGTGTATGGGTGTGTGGCCAAACAATTCCTTGAGGCCTCAGAGATGTGGTTTTACAGAAGAATGCTTAAAATACCTTGGACAACTAAAAGGAGCAACCAAGAGGTTTTGAAAGAGGCAGGAGCCTGAAGACAACTTATCACAAACATCAGAAGGAGACAGTCATCATTTTTCGGCCATGTTATGAGAAGAGGGAAAATAGAACATGTTGTGACCACTGTAAATATCCGTGGAAGGAGGGATAGAGGAAGACAATGCTTGATAGTCTTGTTGCATGGCATGGAGGTGTGTCGGCACACGAATTGATACATGCTGCAGGAAATCACAGATTGTGGAGAGGCATGATCCCCCACGCCAGTCGGCAAGGCACCTGATGGTGATGATGATAGGTGTGTGTGTGTATGGGTGTGTGTGTGTGTGTGTGGAAAAGTGGGTGTACTTACACTTGTTGTGTGGATATGCAAATGTGGTTGTTACCTCTGCATAGTTACATGTCTGAGATGTAAGTGATCTGTTGTGTGGACATGTGGGATCTGTTGTGTGGACATGTGTGATCTGTTGTGTGGACATGTGTGATCTGTTGTGTGGACATGTGTGATCTTTTGTGTGGACATGTGTGATCTGTTGTGTGGACATGTGTGATCTGTTGTGTGGACATGTGTGATCTGTTGTGTACTCGTGTGATCTGTTGTGTGGACATGTGTGATCTGTTGTGTGGACATGTGTGATCTATTGTGTGGACATGTGTGATCTGTTGTTGTGTGGACATGTGTGATCTGTTGTGTGGACACATGTGATCTGTTGTGTGGACATGTGTGATCTGTTGTGTGGACATGTGTGATCTGTTGTGTGGACATGTGTGATCTGTTGTGTGGACATGTGTGATCTGTTGTGTGGACATGTGTGATCTGTTGTGTGGACATGTGTGATCTGTTGTGTGGACATGTGTGATCTGTTGTGTGGACATGTGTGATCTGTTGTGTGGACATGTGTGATCTGTTGTGTGGACATGTGTGATCTGTTGTGTGGACATGTGTGATCTGTTGTGTGGACATGTGTGATCTGTTGTGTGGACATGTGTGATCTGTTGTGTGGACATGTGTGATCTGTTGTGTGGACATGTGTGATCTGTTGTGTGGACATGTGTGATCTGTTGTGTGGACATGTGTAATCTGTTGTGTGGACATGTGTGACATGTTGTGTGGACATGTGTGATTGTGTGGACATGTGTGATCTGTTGTGTGGACATGTGTGATCTGTTGTGTGGACATGTGTGATCTGTTGTGTGGACATGTGTGATCTGTTGTGTGGACATGTGTGATCTGTTGTGTGGACATGTGTGATCTGTGTTGTGTGGACATGTGTGATCTGTTGTGTGGACATGTGTGATCTGTTGTGTGGACATGTGTGATCTGTTGTGTGGACATGTGTGATCTGTTGTGTGGACATGTGTGATCTGTTGTGTGGACATGTGTGATCTGTTGTGTGGACATGTGTGATCTGTTGTGTGACATGTGTGATCTGTTGTGTGGACATGTGTGATGGATCTGTTGTGTGGACATGTGTGATCTGTTGTGTGGACATGTGTGATCTGTTGTGTGGACATGTGTGATCTGTTGTGTGGACATGTGTGATCTGTTGTGTGGACATGTGTGATCTGTTGTGTGGACATGTGTGATCTGTTGTGTGGACATGTGTGATCTGTTGTGTGGACATGTGTGATCTGTTGTGTGGACATGTGTGATCTGTTGTGTGGACATGTGTGATCTGTTGTGTGGACATGTGTGATCTGTTGTGTGGACATGTGTGATCTGTTGTGTGGACATGTGTGATCTGTTGTGTGGACATGTGTGATCTGTTGTGTGGACATGTGTGATCTGTTGTGTGGACATGTGTGATCTGTTGTGTAGACATGTGTAGTAGTTGTCTTTGCAGTTGTCTTTGCAGTTGTTTGCAGTTGTTTGCAGTTGTTTGCAGTTGTTTGCAGTTGTTTGCAGTTGTTTGCAGTTGTTTGCAGTTGTTTGCAGTTGTTTGCAGTTGTTTGCAGTTGTTTGCAGTTGTGAACTTATGTGTTGTGGGACTGTGTGTGTGTATGTGTGTGTATATATATAACCAGCCAATTTTGTATGAACATTTTTCAGTTTGTGTTGTCTATGTTCAATCCTTTCACTGTCTCTCTCTCTCTCTCTCTCTCTCTCTCTCTCTCTCTCTCTCTCTCTCTCTCTCTCTCTCCCCTCTCTCTCTCTCTCTCTCTGTGTGTGCGTGTGTGTGTGCGTGCTTGTGTGTGCATGTGTGCATGTGTGTCAGTACTGTGAAACATTAGTAAAGTTTAACATCTCCATATATGTAATTATTGTGAGGTATCAATGCTGTAAATATTGTGAGTAATCAATGTTGTAAATATTGTGAGATATGACCTGTCGGTTTAAAACTTTAATTACAAATATATAAAAAGGAGTCTAGGAAATAACAGTTAAATTTTAATAGATAATCAGTTGAGATGAATCTTAGAGATAATCACTTCTCTTTTGCCCTTTAGGCTCCAGTGGAGCATAGGCCCTCCTGTAACACACACCAGATTGTCCTAGCCTTTGTTTTCCAACTCATTTCCTCATCATCATTTTAACTTCTCTTTAATTCTTTTTACCTTTGTTTTTGTTCTGTCTTTATTTCTATGCCCCTGTAAGTTCCAGTCTAAAGACATTCTAGTTATGTATTTTTCAGATTTCCTCACCATTATGTGCCCTGTTCAACACGAGCATCATTTATTCACTCTTAACTCACTTGAATGTTTTTAGTTTTCTCCCAAAGCCCCACACTAAAACATTAATTACAAATATCTAAGTTTTTATTACAGAAATAAGCAGATAAATCTGCTAATAAATCCAGGACATGTTGACTTAAAAGATCAAATACACATACTGAAGCTTGTAGTAAAGAAATTAGCAGACGATTCTCTCAGATATGTCCTGCTGGCTTAAAGATGATAATTTTGCAAATCAACGCTTGTAGTAAAAGAATTAGAAAACAAATCTGTGAGATAAACAATGAGTTAATACTATGAGATGTTAATTCTGTTTACAGTAACCCAATATCATGCAACTCTATTACTTATCATTGACAGGGTTGTGTTTGCCAGCAGAAAGAAGAACAGAGGAATGTGTGAAATTGTCCACAAAAAGTACATCCTGGCAAATGATACATTTGAGTTTGGCCCTTTGTTGGTTGGAAAGTCACGAGAGAGGTCAGAATAGTTTTCATAATATTTATTATATTCCCTTTGGAATAGAAACTAGATGCTTGCCTTCCATCGTGAAGATCTAGAGTTCAAATACACACTGATTGAGATGTTTTCTTCAGAACTGACCTTGGTTTCCAGGTCAACCTAGCAGGTAATATCTCAGGAAGCAAAGGCAGCAGACATAATGTTAACGGCATCCCACATCAAGTGTTGATTGGTAGATAAAAATAAACATCTAGCACTATGTGTCCAGGGAGTCACTGTGGTGGAGCGGCTAGATGCTCATCGTGGATCGGAAGCTCGTGGGTTCGCTCCCTGGCAGAGCCGGACTTTTCCCAAAAATGACCTTGGCTCCCATGTCAACCCAGTCTTGAGTGGGTACCGGGTGCAATCCCGGGAAAGTAAAGGCAGCCGGCTTGATGCTGACCACATCACCCATCTTGTGCCGTTGGTCTATAAAAAATATAAGTCTAGCCCTATATGCCCTATAAGCCTGATGGCGTGGAAAAGGGTCCTTTACTTTTTACTTCTACTATGTGTCCAGTGCACTGAAGGCATACAAAAGTGTCTTTTGCTTACTGTTATTTATTATTACCCCTTGCCAACATCTCCACTTCATAGCGGTAGAAAAGTGTATGTCCCCAGTTGTCTTCACCTTGTAATGATAAAATAGACTGTGGCCTCTTTTTCCCTCCCTCTATAAAGTTCGTTCGTTCGTTCCTTTGTTCGTTCCCTCTCCACTCGTTTTTTTTTTTTAGAGTTATTACTTATACTTCTTTTTCCTCCTCACTTTTGGTCTGCCTCTGATTTTGCATCATACAAATTTGCTGCTGTGTTCTGAGGGAGGGAATAATGTTTACACAGCTTTTCTCTAAACAACCAATGTTTCTGCTTAGTTCTTAAGTTTTATTTTAAATGTACCTATCCTAGCTTTCATTTGCCTGATGAAGTCCTTATTGCTGTAACGTCTATCCATCATGTTCTTGTAATGATGATACTTTCAATGTTCTATTCTGTTAGTATATGCCAACAGATAGATATAAGATGTAATAAAGTTTTATTTGGTCATACTTCTATTGCAACAGCTACCGAGATGGCAGGTACCCCGAGAATATGGAGCCATTTACCATTGTCAACACATCACCCATGGAGGCAGACGTCAGTTTTTGCTTTCTGCATGACAGCAGAGGGGAGACCTTCATGCTTGAGCCAGCTTCAATGATTCTCAAGCCTGGAGAGTTGAACAAACTCTTAGTCTGGGCTTATCCACGAGGTGAGCATCCACGCACGGTGTCACGGTGTCACGATGTCACGGTGTCACAGTGTCACGGTGTCACAGTGTCGCGGTGTCACGTTGTCACGATGTCACAGTGTCACAGTGTCACGGTGTTAGGCAGATTTCACATACATGCAGCAGTTCAGTTTATTCTGGACAAAACCTCTCACAGATTTGTCAGTGCAGTTTTTGTGGTGTTCCAGGTTAATCTTCTAGAAAAGTGGCCTTGTTTTATTGGGATTTCTTTCTTTGTTTGTTTGTTTGTTTGTTTGTTTGTTTGTTTGTTTGTTTGTTTGTTTGTTTGTTTGTTTGTTTGTTTGTTTGTTTCTTTCTTTCTTTCTTTCTTTTTTTCTTTCTTTCTTTCTTTCTTTCTTTCTTTCTTTCTTTCTTTCTTTCTTTCTTTCTTTCTTTCTTTCTCTCTTTCTTTTTTTTTCTTTTTTTTTCTTTCTTTCTTTCTTTCTTTCTTTCTTTCTTTCTTTCTTTCTTTCTTTCTTTCTTTCTTTCTTTCTTTCTTTCTTTCTTTCTTTCTTTCTTTCTTTCTTTCTTTCTTTCTTTCTTTCTTTCTTTCTTTTTTCTTTCTTTCTTTCTTTACCTCTTCTTTCTTTTCTTTCTTTCTTTTCTTTCTTTCTTTCTTTCTTTCTTTCTTTCTTTCTTTCTTTCTTTCTTTCTTTCTTTCTTTCTTTCTTTCTTTCTTTCTTTCTTTCTTTCTTTCTTTCTTTCTTTCTTTCTGTGGGATTTCTGTCTGTTCTTTCTGTTCATCTTTCTTTCTTTCTTTCTGTTTGTCTTTCTTCTGACTTTGCTTTTCTCCTGATTTCCTTCCTCTTCATTGCTGCTGTTACTGCCACTGCTTTTCCTACAATTCCTTCCACTGCTACTTCCACTGTTGCTGCTGCTCCACTTTTTCCTACTCCTCTTCTTCCTTCTTCTTTTCTTTGTTTCTTCTCCTCATGGAGAAACTGATGGGGAAATTAGTTTAACTGTTGTGCCAAAACACTCTTGGGTAAGAGGGAATGAATGAGTGGATTGGCTTGCTGGTTGGGCCACACTATGTACAGGGCAAGCAATGAATGAGTGGATTGGCTTGCTGGTTTGGCCACACTATGTACAGGGCAAGCAATGAATCAGTTTGATGTTCTTAATGCTCTCAAGGAGGCAGGATGAGCAGATGTTTGGGGATACAACGGTAGGTCTACAACATTTAATGACTACAAGAACTTCAACTCAAAAGAGGTATTGCCATTCATGAACGCTAGCTAATTTATAGATTATTGCTTAATAACAATATAAAACAATCTAATTTATAGATTACTGCTTTCAAATGATAATATAAAAAAACAGTCTAATTTATAGATTACTGCTTAATGATAATATAAAACAGTCTCATTTATAGATTACTGCTTATTGATATTATAAAACAGTCTAATTTATAGATTACTGCTTAATGATAATATAAAACAGTCTAATTTATAGATTACTGCTTAATGATAATATAAAACAGTCTAATTTATAGATTACTGCTTAATGACAATATAAAACAATCTTTTTTTAAGATAGCAGGATTTATTTTTGTCTTTACTGGCATATTATATTTTATTTTTAGACCTGCACATTTATATGAACATGTACTTTGTCCCCAGGACCAGGCCATTACGAGGACATGATTGTTTGCTGCATGCGTGAGAATCCAGAACCCGTCTTGTTCAAAATTTGTTGTGATGGGTTCAGACCAGAACTGGAACTTGATAAGAAAGTGTTCCAGTTTGACAAAATGTTGTTGCACAGGTATGCCAGGGCGACAGGCGAGAAAGTCAGTACATGTTAGGGAAAATAAATCACACACAAGGAACAAGTTTAGAATAATATATCACACAAAAAGAATAAGACAAAGATAGCAACTGTCAGATCATTTATGAGATAATAATTCATAGAAAATTAACATATTTGACACAAAAATACACACAAAGAAAATAATTCATGTAACCAGAACACACAGAAGAGAATGAATGACAAAAACAGAACATGTAGTAGAAATGAATCTGTATAGCTTTGTTTTGTGGTATATTGCAAACCTTCTAGCAATTTGTATGACATACAAATTCACCTTATTCTGTCACAGATTTCTTTTTAAATATCAGTTTCCTGTTCAAGGAACTGTACCTACACACTAAACCAGAGTAATTTTCTCCTCCATCTCTGTATTACTGTCCGCCTTGCTTAATGCAGTCTATTTTATTTAATTGATTCATAACTTCTCTCCCTCTTTATCTTCACGTCTGCCAACTGTAAACTCTGGTTGAAAGTTCTGGTCAGTTTTCCACTTCTGGACATCAGTTTTGTTCCAGAACTTGAGTTTTGCATGCACATCCATTTTATAGATCTAGCTTATTTCTTTGCACACAGTTGGCTGTAAACTCCAGCGGAAAGTTCTGGGTGTTTCTTCACTTCTGGATTTATAGTCTTCCACCAAGAGTTGAGTTTTTCATGCACATCCATTTGACAGATCTGGCAATTTTCTTTGCAGACCATTGGTTCTTTGCCTGTTAGGCAGATGCACTCCAGCTCTGGAGAAAACATCCCTAATTAGTCGACTTTTACAACTTGCTCATTAAAGCAGTGGGTTCATTCTTTTGTATTTCTTCACAATGGGGCCCAGAACTCTGATGTGGGGAGTTTTTTCATTAGATATTATATTTTCTAGTGTTTTAAAGCTTTTAGATATATTTGGCATGATATAAGTGTATTGATTAGCACTATATTGATTGTTGGTTTTGTCGCGCCAGCTACTGAGTTGAGTGCATGGCGCGACCCTGTGAGCTGCGGATTTCATTTGGAATGTTTTTCGACTGTGACCAATGGGGTGTTGTGAATTGTAGATTCAGAAAATGGCGCGTGGCCTGTCACCGCAATATTGGTGGTGCCCTTATGTGATTAATATTGATTGCGTGCGCAACTGCTGATCTGTTGGCGACTTCTGCTACCGTCGATGATGAACTGCATTTTAATGCGTGTGTATGCTAGTGCATCTGCTGGGATAGCAGTCTGTCAATCTTTCCACAAGGGACTGTGATAAACATTCTTGTGTTTTTCGTTGGCACAGGAGCGGAGCAAGTATGGGGTGACTCGTTTGCTATGAAGCTGAAACTAAGATTACCAAGATTACCAAGATACTGATTGTTGATGTAATTGGCACAATATAAATGTATTTCTTAGCACTATATTGATTGTTGATGTACTTGCTGAACATAACCACTATCATCCAACCCTCCAGGAAGGACACAAAAACCATCTATCTACAAAACAACACACAACTGCCTGTTGCCTGGAAACTTAGCGGTCTGGAGAGCCTTGGAGATGAGTTCACAATGGCTGCAGACAGCGGAATTGTGGAGCCACTGTCTGAATATCCACTGCATGCTTACTTCAGGGCCATGAAAGCCACCAGCAGCAAGAAGATGATCAGAATTGAGGTATGTGTGAGTTTTTGTTTTTTCTTTGTAATGTGAGGCTATTCAGATCACTGCCGAAGCATATGATGTGGCACTGGATATGAGCTTTCCCAAAGGCAAGTTGCTCAGCTGCTTAATGTCACATCTTGATGATGATATTCTTTCAAAAGAACATTTCTTGTGAGCTTGACGATTCCAATAGATCAAAGCTCTTATTTGTCTTGGTCTTTCTATCTGCTTCTAATTAAAAAAAGTCTTGATAATGCAATGAGTGTGTTACC